AAAACAATCAACATTGACTTAACATTGCTCCGACTTTAACGTGCTTTTTTTGGTCTTGGCGATTCAGAATGCTTCCACTGTGAATATTGTTGTTTTATTTCAGGATTATAACCATAAACCCATGATTCATCACCTGTAATAACTTTTCTAAGCACATTATCATCATTATTGACCATTTCCAGATTGCCCAGAGCGAATTCTAAGCGAATGTTCTGCTCTGCTGTGAGCAATTATTGGATGAATTTCGCACACACGCGTTTCATTCCTAAATTTTCGGTTAAAATTTCTGAAATGATTGATTTTGGTATCCCAAGGTCTTCTTCTAGTTCTCGCATAGTCATACGACGATCTTGTTCGATTGCAAGTCGCACCCGCTCAATATTATCTGCGGTTTTTGTCGTCGAAGGTCGACCGGAACGAGAATCACTATCGACAGAAGTGCGACCATCCTTGAACCGTTTATACCACTCTTTTATTCGCGTTTTGCTCAGACACTCGTTTCCGAAGGTCTTTTGCATCATGTCAATAGTTTCCGAACTCATTTTTCCGAGTTAAAAGCAAAATTTTATGCAAGTTCGTTGATCTTGTTTTTCAGTCATTTTTGACAATATCAAAATCCGACGAACGCGAAAAAGGCACTGTAAACAAAGACACGCTGCGCATGAACTATACGTCCGGCAGGTGTCAGTAAGTAACCAACAGATTCGTGAGGCTTTACTGTTGACGTTTCTGTCCGGTAGAGTTCGCTCGAACGCTATGGTACGAAGATATAAACGTAGGCCCGATGCTTTCCGGACAGACCTCGTATATTGATAACTTTAAAAATGTAAGAGGGGTTCAATTAAAATGAGCAAAGGTTCAATTTTTTTGTCTTGTTTCTTTGCAAAACTATTAAGTACTGTGAAAGATATCGCAGTTTCAAAAAAACAAAAAATGTACATAAGTTTTAACTTTTTTTAGGACAACTAAAAGGGTTCAATTAAAATAATGATCATTTTTGGATGGTTGGGTTCAATTAGAGATATTTCGAATCTAATTTTTTTTTTCACTGTCCACTACATTTTATGTAATGGAAGTCTATTTGTTTACAACGACTTTTTTGCGTTTATCACAATTCGTTTATCGGTAAAAATAATACAACGAACCGAACAGCGAATTGGCGTAAAATTTTGCTTTAATCTCGGTAAAAGTTGTGTGGAAACTATTAAAATATTACAAAAGACCTTTTAAAATGAGCGTATGGGCAAAACACAAATTAAAGAGTGGTATAGGTGGTTTAAACAAGGTCGCATATCTGCTGACAGTGATCCTCCTTCTGTTACGTAATTTTGGATTATAAAGGCGTCGTGCACCACGAATATGCTCCTACAGGCGAGACAATCAACAATGAGTACTATGTAGAAGTTTTGAAAAAATTGCTTGATGCAATCAGGAGGAGACGATCGCAACTTTGGAAAACTGGTGACTGGCTTCTTCATCACGACAATGCTCCAGCGCACGCACCAAATCTTGTGCAGCAGTATTTATTGAAACACAGTGTTGCGCAGCTCCGCCGGCCTCCATACAGTACCGACATACCTCCCTACGACTTTTGGTTGTTTCCTTAATTGAAAATGCGGCTTAAGGGACATCGATTCGACGATAAAGAGGCTGTTGAAACCAATGCAACGAATGCACTAAAGGCGATTCCGAAGTCTGACTTTCAAGAGTGCTTTAATAAGTGGAAACATCGATATAAATGTCTTATTCAATCAAATAGGGACTACTTTGACGGATGCTACCCCGGGATGATGAAGATTAAATCAAGATTTAAACAATTAAATTGCTGTTAATTTTCGTGATATATTTAAAAAACTGTCAAAATACGGGTATTGTGGATCTTATAAAGTATCAGCATTTATTATTTATTTTTTTATATACTGAGAGCTCTTATTAAACTAAAAAAATATCTTTTTGCAAATTTGAAAATATTGATTAATTGTTGACTGACAGCTGCTTCCCTCCTGCTTTCCGACTAATGTGGCGAGCATAGGTAATTACGCGCGCTCTTCGGTGGAATTGCGCGAATAAAGTAATTAAACGGTATCCACCCCGTTACAAATGATAATGTAATATTATTGCTAATTTATTTATTCAAGCTATTAAAAAATTATTGCAAATATTGTTGACATATTTTTTTAATAACTTTTTCAAAAATTATTTTGCGTAATTTTTTTTTCAATGCAATATTATTTATATTCTTTTACATATTTAAAAAAAAAATTTGTTGTTACGACCATTTGCAGATGAGATAATTTCTTTATTTTACAATTTTACAGCAGCATTATTTATCGTTTCACTGAACTTCATTTGGTACGGAACGAACAATAGAATCTTATTTTTTAATAGTCCTGATGCTTTATGTTTATTTTTAAAACTTTCTATTGTTTGATTAATAATGCGCGCTATGTATGTTTATGAAGTAGCGGGTGCTGGCAGCTATGGTTCGAAAACTCTAATTCATGCTCTAAAGCCGAGAAAAAAAGATGATCAATGTGTAATGTGCTGTACTGAGAATACAGTATAATCAGGCCCAGTAAATCAAGAGGATCGAAAATTGTTGCTATCTGACAAAACTAGCCGTTTCATAATCAATCGACTGATGATAATGTTCGATGTATTATAAATAAACTGCTCGCTCTTTGCTCTTCAGGATATCTCGAGAGTGTTAATCGACTTAATCTCGTTTAGATCCCTTTGAACTTTGAACTGATTCGATGTATACTAACGCATCTTCATACCGGCATTGCCTAGCATATCCAGAATTTGTTTGTACGTCTCCTTTGTTCGGGATAGCAAACCACAACCAGTTATCAAGCTATCGACATAAATATTGTTTTTGATCATTTTAGCGGCTAACAGGAAACGTTTTTCTTCATCGACAGCCAGCTAATGAAGGCTACAAATGGCGAGAAAGAATGCTAACGACATGCAAAATACGTATAACCGTGTTCAGAGTATGGTCGAGTATCTTATCGTCTTTAAACTAAAGAATTTTTTTTGGAATATAAGAGCTTCAAACTAAGAAATGTTAGTAAATATTTTCGATATTAGCTAAAACGATGTAAACGTATATTCAGAATTATAACAGAAGCGTGAATAGATTGGTTTGAAGAGTCGAGCTGACTAGTAAGAAATCATTTAGCAAAATTTTATTGAAGGATTTAGTCGACGCGTCGAAAACTACTCGTAGCTTTGTCGTATTGTTTGATTTCTTCAAGACTGCGTGGTGGCTTAAATAAAAGCCCATCTTAGCATTGACGTCCTTTCTTTAAATTTATGATATGTTCTCTTGATCGAGATAATCGTTCATAATCTTAACGTATTCGACCTTGAATTCTCTGTTCTTATCGAATTTTCTTTTTAAATACGTCAATCGCTTTTAATGTTACAGTTCTGGATTCGCCTAACTGGTTGGTTGAGTGTCTAAAGAGCAGCGCAATGACATATCTGACATCACTGTTGTGTCAAATACGTGATTTCAAGTGATTCTTACAGGCCTTTTCTTCCTGTGCAAATTGTACATCAACTGGTAATTCTTCAATTATCCGAAACTTCTTAGAATCGAATTGCAATTCGGTCAGCATGCATACAAGAGGTTTCTGTTTATTAAGGGCGATTAAACTGCCTACCATTATTTAACCGAATTAATTTTCTATAAAATTATATTATAATTCAGTAATTTAATTTAGTCAGCGCAAAACAAGAAAAGCTATGAACTAGCTCCTATCAACTAATTTGCTGATGCTGTCTCGTAAAAGTCACAGTCTGTCAATCTTTGAGTTTTTTTCTTGGAATAGTGTCGCTTGGAGTTGCGTAAGTAATTTTTTGATTGACAGTAAATATTAATGACTGTTTAACTTCAGAATATATGGATTGAAATTTAATCTACAGTAGCGTGCATAAATTTCTGACCAGAAAATGGTCGTACAAGAACGCGTGCAGATTCATTTTAAAGAGTAAAGCAATATCCTTCATATACCGCTGGTATTTTTTTATTAAATAAAAATTGTGTTTTTTAAGTTAAAAAACAAATTACTTTTTTCAAATGTTTGTTACATACAATCGGTTATAACTGTTGGGGACAGGAGAGCAAGAATAAACAATTACTATATCGTTTGAACGGGTTTTATTTTATTTTACAAAATCAGATACAAGGTTATTAAATTAACCGCGCGCATCTATACGACTTCACTGAAGGAGCGGTCAGGATAGAGTGTCGTCGCTTTTTTTTCTCACCTCCCGCTTCATTTGCTCGGCTTTCCCTCTCCTTGTTATTTTTTGCATTGGCGTAGCTAAATGAGGTCCGAAGGGGGCCAGTGTCGCACTTCCCTCCGCTTCGCTCGTGGTTCGCCGGGGGGCCCCGGAAATAACCCTTGTGTTATTGCCGGGCCGTAAGATCAAAAAAAATCATTTGCAGCAGGTCATAGCAGCCTCGGAAAGGGGCACGGCCCGTATCTCCCTCCCGAGCTGTAGCGTACGGCCATGGATCTGCCCAGTAGCAGCCATGCTCGTCAAACAAGCGAAGCCATGGAGGGTGGCCGTTTCAATTAATTTTCGACACATGTACCCACGGCGGAGGCGGATAGTCGCGACGACACACTTTCCTACCATCGCACGCAAAGACTTGACTCCTTTTTTCGCAACGCACGCTGTACATGCCTCGACGCATCGAGTCGCCAACGCCTCGCATATACCCCACTGACTACGGCCTCTGACCGAAGAGGAAATTTCGGGTTTTCTCCGGCGCGTTGCGTCACAAATCACGGCTCGTCGCGCGTTGTTTTACGCGCAACCGAGACCGAAAGCTTGCTGATGTCTTCCGAGCAAACGCTCAACAGCTGCGGACGTCTACTATTTTTTTTTTTTTTTTCGATCCGTAACATCCTCCCCCCGTGAAAATGAAGCCATTTTGACCTATAGAGAGTCGCAAATTTGGACGAGTTTATGGACGGGTCGTGTTAGTTCGCTTTTGCCCGCTCGGACTTTAGCAACTCGAACATTCCGTCGGATGCGTTCGGATAAATTTCGATGATTTTACCTTTTCTCCACGAGTTGCGCGAGGCCTGATAATCTAATATGAGAACGATGTCTCCAACTTTTAACTGCGGCTCGGGAGAGTACCATTTCTTTCGCGGTAGAAGCGTAGGGAGATATTCTCGTAACCACTTCTTCCAAAAGGCTTGAGCGAGTTGTTGCGCTATCTCGAATGTTTTACGCGGGTTTAAAATTTCGCTTTCATATCTTTCTAGCCGCAAGTGCCCGGACGACGTGCCTATCAGAAAGTGGTTGGGCGTTAGCGCTTCTTCGTCGCGTGGGTCCACGGAAACATGAGTGAGCGGACGCGAGTTGACCATGTGTTCGGTTTCGGCGAGAAGCGTTATCAAAACTTCTTCGAACGGGGCCTGATCTTTGAGCGCGTGATTCAGCGCTATCTTTACGGAACGAACTTGTCGCTCCCAGGCTCCCCCCATGTATGGCGCCTCGGGAGGGTTAAAGTGCCACTCGAAGCCCTTAGTATCGCTGTACTGTCTGAGTTTGTTATTGTCTAGGCCTAACACCGCGTCCCGTAATTCTTTGCTGGCCTTAGCGAAGTTAGTGCCGTTGTCGCTGTACATCGCGCGCGGAAATCCCCTCCGACAAGCAAAACGTTGTATGGCCATTATAGCTGAGCTTGCACTCAAACTATTCGCCAGTTCGAGGTGAATTGCCCTAGTAGTCATACAGGTAAATAAAACTCCCCACCGTTTTTCTCGACGTCTCCCTATTTTAACAAGCATTAGGCCAAAATAGTCCACCCCGCAAGGAGAAAACGGTCGTTGATTGTGGGCCACGCGACACCGAAGCAAATCGGCCATGGGAGGGTTGTTGGGCTTCGCGCGACGCATACGACAGATTATGCAGCTTTTAGCTAGGGAACGCAACCTTCTCCTTAGTCCAAATATATAAAACTCTTGTCTCAACTCGTTTACGACGGACTCATTATTCGCGTGAAGAAATCGTTTGTGATACGCCCCTATTAGGCATTTCGTAGCGAAATGACGCGCGTCAAGAATGATGGGATTATAAGCGATGGACTGCTCCCCTATCGTCTTCACGCGGCCTTCAGCTCGCAAGATTCCGAGTTTGTCGAAAAACGGTTTTAGGCTAACTAACCTTCCCCCTTTGCGCACCGCTGTGCCGCGTTGCAACGCGTCAATTTCTTCGGGAAAGCAATACGACTGTATTTCTCGATACCAGAAATGCGCGGCTTTATATCTAACTTCCTGTAAGCTCATCGTTTCTCTGGGGCTGCTGAGCGACGTTTGCTCTCTCTTACCAAACGCGTGGTCGATCCAACGATGAGCGTACTTCTGCATGCGCGACCCTACAATCAACAATCCGTGCCAGCCGAAGAGTTGTCCCGTTATCGGTGCGCTCGCGATATTTGTGGTCGCCATCCCGACGAACTCCTGTCGTGACTCTAATGCGTTTATTTCTTGCTTTTCAGTACCTAGCAACGATTTTTCCTTTGGCCACGTTTGCGACGCTCGGTGCAGAAACTCGGGCCCGACGAACCACCGATCAGTCGGTCGCATGGGCTCTTTTGATGGACGGGTCGCGTCGTCTGCTGGGTTTGCTCGCGTCGGTATCCAGCGCCACTCTGAAATCTGCGTCTTGTCCCCTATTTCTCCTAAACGATTTCGCACGAATGTTTGCTTTAGTCGTGGGCCCGCGCGAATCCACTGCAAAACTGTCGTTGAGTCCGACCAAAAGATTTTCTCCGATATTTTGATGTCTAGTTCTTCGGATACAGTCGAGGCTATCCGCGCTCCGAGAACTGCCGCTTGCAACTCTAGACGCGGAACTGTTGTCGGTTTGACTGGTGCGACTCTTGTTTTCGCCATCACGAGCGATACATCGACTTTACCGTCGTGAGACTCGGTTCGGAGGTACGCGGCAGCGGCGTACGCCTGTAAGCTCGCGTCGCAGAATACGTGTAACTGCGTGCGGAAATAATCGGTCCCGATAGATATGAAGCATCGCGGTATGCTACAGTCTTTGATCGCTACAAGATTTGTCAACCATTGCTTCCACGCAATAAACTCTTTTTCGCGTATTCTCGCGTCCCATCCTACCCCGCTACGCCAGATATCTTGCATAATCGCCTTTGCGCAGAGAAGAAATGGAGATAAGAGACCGAGCGGATCGTACACCGACATTATTATGCTGCAAAATTCGCGTTTTGTTGGTTTCAAGTTTCCTAGCAACACGTTATCATCGATCTTATTTATCCCTACATTGAAGCTTAATTTATCATTTTCGCAATCCCAGTATAACCCGAGCACACGTTCTTCCACGTTACATAGGCTCGCTTTCGTCTCGCGGCCTAGTTTTTCGTCTTTGTTCACGAATTTGACAATGCGTTCGTCGTTTGAGGCCCATCCGTGCAAGACGAAATTGGCTTCGCTGTTGATTTGCTTGACGTCTCTAACCAGCTTTTGCATTTCCTCAATGCTCCCCCCACTAACTAAATAGTCGTCCATATAGCTATTCTTAATGATGCTTCGCGCAGCTACAGGTTTCGTTTCTGCGTATCTCTCGGCATTGCAATTTTTCACGTATAACGCGCTGCATGGCGATGACTTGGATCCGAAAATCAGGCACGTCATGGCATAAACGTCGGGCTCTCGCTGCCTATCATCTCCGCGGTACAAGAATAATTGCGACGCGCGATCTTTCTCGATGACCTTCACTCTCAAGTACATATCCTGTATGTCCGCTTTTACCGCAAAGGGATGTTGCCGATATCGCAGTAGTACGCCGAGAAGAGACTCGAGTAAGTCCGGCCCCGTGTCAAGCAAATCATTCATGCTTATTCCATCGGTTTTTTCTGCCGCGTCAAAAACCAAGCGAACCTTTCCGGGTTTATTCACGTTCTGCACGCCGAAATGAGACACGTAGCGTTCTCGGGGGTTTTTGGCATTTACTTTTGTTTTTGTGGCATATCCGTTCTCTATTAACCTATCCATTTCCTTGTAATATAACGACGCGAATAACGGATCTCTATCTAATTTTTTGTCCGTTGCACGCAGTCTTTTCATTACTGTTGCTCGAGTATTTAAATTTGGCAATCTGTCGCTTTTCCATAAAAGGCCCGTTTCCCATACGTTGCCCACCCTTTTCGTCGTTTCCTTTAGAATTTTCATTGCGCGGTCCTCCCCCCGTTCACTTCCTTTTGGCGCCGCTACTCCTAAATTATCTAAGTCGAAATAACCTCGCACTAATGTATCCAATTTTAATAAGGCCAGCCGAGAATCACTATCGGGGCGCTCGTCAGTGCAGCGGATTGCATGGGCAAAAAGACTACGCGTTTTCTTTTGATCGTCTTCTAAATACCCGTGTATTGCCCATCCCAACGGCGAGTTCGATAGTACGAGGCACGTGCCATTGACGCGTCGCGATTCGCTGCTTTCTAGTAGCCGCCAGTTGTCTTGTCCTAGCAGAATTTTCGGTTGAGCGTTCTGATAAGTCTCTAGATCAAGACCTTCCTGTTCTTGCACGCGCCGTATAATTTCTGACGGGATTCTTTGCAAGGGCAATTCTAAATTCGCAACTGTCAACGCGTGTTCAATTATTTGGGCGCCCCGCGTTCCTTCCGCGACGAACATTACCCTTTGGCACTTTCTCTGCGTCGATCCGCTCCAGAGCCCCTTTACCGACACGTTTACGTTTTCTCCTTGTAATCCGATTTGCTTAGCTAAATTCTTATCAATTACAGTAATTGTTGACCCGCTATCTAAAAGGGCGTAAGTATTTGCAGTCGCGTCTTCCGTTCCTCTTATTTTTACCGGCACGATTTTTAGTAGTCCTCTTCTCGGCGTTAGTCATAATCGATTGTCCCGTCCGTCTTGTCCACGAGCAGGCGCGTCTGCGCGGTCAGTTCGCGATCCATTATTCGCTTCGCCTCGGTTTCTGACACTTTCTCGCTCACTCATGTGTAATTTTTCGTGATGCGCATGCTTACATATAGTGCAGCCTGATTTCTCGGGACATTCTCGCGCCATGTGTCCGCTCTTTAGGCACCGAAAACAGACCCGCAGTTGCTTGACGAGCGCATGCCTACACTGCACAGATTCTCGAGTGAATTTGTGGCAGTCGGCTAACACGTGTCCTTCTCGGAGACAAAAAACGCAGCCTGATCGGTTGACTCCTCTCTCGCGGCTCGTCGAGCGCTCTCGATCTACCATCGTGCAGATATGCGCGCTTCGCCCAGGTCTCCCTTCGTTGTTTCGCTCTCGACGCGGCACATCCCGAGGCTTTCTAGCCCTATCGTCGTCTCTATGCGTCAGAAGTGTCGATGCTTCCAGCAGTCCGGACTTAACTGCGTTCCTAGCTTTTTGCTGCAAGAAGTCGGCCAATTTTTCTAAGCCCGTTATCTCGTTTGTAACGCCCGCCGCGTAATCGTAGAAGGCAGTCGTCAAGCCGCTTGGTAATTTATTCATTGCATGGCGCATGAGATTTATATTGCTTAAATGATTTTCTAGGTTCACCGATTTAAACGCCGACACTGCGTTGTTGATACCGTTTGCGAACTCTACAATATTACATTTTCCTTCTTTTAAGGAACGCAATCGATATATATCCTCGGATATCGTGTTCGCGATCGCGGCGCTATTTCCGAACTGCATTTCGAGTGATTCCATCACTTTTTCTGGATCGGTCGCGGTGTCTAACAGCGTCCCAACTCGTTCGGCTGCCTTTCCGTGGATGGCTTTTTGAAGACGCGCGATGTTTTCCCGGTTAGAGTATCCGTAGTTTCGTGTCGACTCGCGATACATCGCTTCAAAGTGCGTCCACTTAAGCGGATTTCCTCGAAATTCGGACAAATCTTTTAAATAGTTCAGCTGCCCCGCTCGCGGTCCGTTTTCGCTTACGGTTGCGTCTCGAATCGTGCGCAAAAGTCCATTGACGGTTTCGATAAATGATGCAGTCGCATCGTTCGCGTTGCCGTTATATCGGCCGCTCACTCCTATACCTGGGGTTTGATCGTTGCGACTCGGCGCTCGGGCGTAGTCCTCGCCTTCGACGGTTGATGCGTTCGAGCTCGTTGTCTGCAACTGTGCCTGCTGCACGATGATATCTGGCTCGTACGGGTATATCGGCGGTGATGATGTCCGCTGCTGCTGCTCATCGGGAACTGGCGTTGATGCTTGTCGCGGTAGGGTAGCTCGAGATACCGTCATTTCTTGTTGGGGTTCGTCCGTCTGCTGTTCCTGGTCGATCGTTTTTTTGGCTCTTGAAGTCCGGGCGCGTGACGCAGTTGCTTTTCTGGCCGCCGGCTGGTCGGCTTCCTGACGGCGTGCTCTTTTGTTTGCAGTTGTTGGTGCTGGAGGCGCGCTGTTCTTGTGTTTCCTTGTAGCTCGTGACGCCATTGTCCGGATGATTTTCTACGATGTAGTTTTTTTCTTCTGCGATGTTGATGAATATCCGGCACAACAATTCACGGCACTTCAATTTTCTTCGCCTGCCGAATTATTATTCTTGCTCAATGTTCTTGTGTCCCACCAGGGGTACCAATGTTGGGGACAGGAGAGCAAGAATAAACAATTACTATATCGTTTGAACGGGTTTTATTTTATTTTACAAAATCAGATACAAGGTTATTAAATTAACCGCGCGCGTCTATACGACTTCACTGAAGGAGCGGTCAGGATAGAGTGTCGTCGCTTTTTTTTCTCACCTCCCGCTTCATTTGCTCGGCTTTCCCTCTCCTTGTTATTTTTTGCATTGGCGTAGCTAAATGAGGTCCGAAGGGGGCCAGTGTCGCATTTCCCTCCGCTTCGCTCGTGGTTCGCCGGGGGGCCCCGGAAATAACCCTTGTGTTATTGCCGGGCCGTAAGATCAAAAAAAATCATTTGCAGCAGGTCATAGCAGCCTCGGAAAGGGGCACGGCCCGTATCTCCCTCCCGAGCTGTAGCGTACGGCCATGGATCTGCCCAGTAGCAGCCATGCTCGTCAAACAAGCGAAGCCATGGAGGGTGGCCGTTTCAATTAATTTTCGACACATGTACCCACGGCGGAGGCGGATAGTCGCGACGACACACTTTCCTACCATCGCACGCAAAGACTTGACTCCTTTTTTCGCAACGCACGCTGTACATGCCTCGACGCATCGAGTCGCCAACGCCTCGCATATACCCCACTGACTACGGCCTCTGACCGAAGAGGAAATTTCGGGTTTTCTCCGGCGCGTTGCGTCACAAATCACGGCTCGTCGCGCGTTGTTTTACGCGCAACCGAGACCGAAAGCTTGCTGATGTCTTCCGAGCAAACGCTCAACAGCTGCGGACGTCTACTATTTTTTTTTTTTTTTTTCGATCCGTAACAATAACTTTTGAACAGCCAGCAGATTTAAAAAATCAAAAGTGTAGAAATGGTATATTTCAGTTATCTTTAAAATGAACGGAATAAGATCCATTTTTATTGAGCCGATAAAAAATCTTTGATTACTTTGGAAACTATGCATTGTCGAAAAAATCTCGTAACAGAAAAAAAGGTTGTTTTTTAATATACAATAATTATTCACTATCAAAATTGCACGTTGTAACAAAAAATTTTTCCGTTTTTTTACCGTAGGTAAAATATTACTATCACGTGTCACATCGATACTAAAAAGAACACACGTGATGGGCTATGGTAACTGATCATGTATCGATAATTTAACTTCCTGTCATGCCAATTGTCGCCCATCCCGGAAAGATTTGTAAATCTATCTAACAAGATGGTTTAGGCTAATAACGTTCTCCATATTAATTCCGCGAATATTACGCACTGCATATTAATTTGGCAAAAAGAAAGGGAAAGGGCACGTCAGCCCATGGTATAAAAAGGCAGGATCCGGATCCGCAAGGCAGGCAGTTGTAGTTCGTTAATTCAGTAGTATAGTACTATTATTGTATTATTTCTGAGCTTCGCTATCCGGATACTCAGAACGGCAATTGAACTTTATTAAGCACTATAAACTTGTCTTTTCAAACAATAAATCTCAATCAAGTGCAAACACCTGAGATTCTTTCATAAAATCTCCTTTAAGCCTGGTCCACTCTAGGTAAGAAACTTAGTTATCTACTGTCACGGGGTGGATTAGCTAATACAATAAGAATTTATTGAAGTATAAGCTCCCACGATGCAGAGCTAACCGCCCCTCCGTTAAAGAAGTATGGTTATACGTGTATTCGCCTTTACGTTTGATACTTTCGTTTCAGTGCCTTCTTTCTAATAGAGTTGAACTTACCTCAAGTCACTTGACTTGTGACACTCGATCTATCTTAGGTGTGAGTGACCTAATGCTTATTCCACCTAATCCCCTAGATGAAATTGGTTTAAAATTTAATCCGTAATAGATCCGTTATACTAATAGGAAACGAAATGACGTAATGCGGCGAATAAAATTAATAACGTTTATGACTAGAAAAATTACAGTCTTTTACGGGCCGAAAGACTAACGCACGAGAATAGGATTTTACAATAATTAATAATAATACGGGGAGAGAGGGAGAGAGAAAGAATTCCAAACTTTGCCGCGAAAACTAACGCTCGGCGCGAATACAAAAAATAACGATCGCGATATACAAAATACTCTCACTAGTATTTTGTCGCGCAATAAAAGGGAGGTACAATTACGGTTATCAGCTGTAATTCTTGAAGAGAATAAAACGCGATCCTCAAATCAGCTGCGCTGCCTCACTCGCTTCCAAATTTGCTGCTTTGCTGCTGCTCTATTTGCTACCGCTGTGATGCTGCTACTGTGGTTGCTACTTCGCTCACCCGTGCACACTTATCCAAAATCCAGGAAAACTTTTGATTTGCAAAAACGGCGAAACACTGTGCAAAATAATTGACGGTACTCTCACTAGTAAAAGCTGAGGCTTAACTGAAAACTTTTAAACTCTCGCGCGCCCTCTCTCTCTCTCTCTCTCTCTCTATCTCTATTAGTCGTTAGTTCGAACATCGCGAGTGTACCAAATCGTGAACGGTTCGATTAATCGAATCGACTACCGTTGCATACCTACACGCTCAAACTGAAAACGCGTTATCCCTTAAACCAATCTCTGCTTACCTACTGACTAAGATCCAATCTTCACCTACGCGACAGTATTTTAAACATCATTACGTCTAGCCATAACACCATCTCGTCGAGACATACGTAACATCACCATCAAAATTACATGTAAAAAAAAATTTATTCGTTTTTTTACCGTGGGTAAAATATTACTATCGAATGACTACAAATAAATAATATTATATAAATTCTATCAATTACAATTTATTAATATTCTTTTCATATACATGTTTTCATAATATAGAATTACAATAATATTTATCACAATACATCAAACTCGTGTATTTAATAGTAGTCAATGTAATTTTTTAAATACATCTGTTGAATACACGAGTTGTATTGTGATGGACACGACATATTGTAATAAATATTATAGTATTGTAATTCTATGTTATAAAAAACATATGTATAAAAAGAATACTGATAAATTGTAATTGATGCAACTTAAATAATATTATTTGTTTATAGTCATTCGATAGTAATATTTTACCTACGGTGAAAAAACGGAAAAATTTTTTGTTACAACGTGCAATTTTGATAGTGAATAATTATTCTACATTAAAAAATAATCTTTTTTATCTTGTTGGAGATTTTTTCTACAATTCATAGTTTCCGAAGTAATCAAAGATGAAAAAAGTGGGAATTGTTATATAAAACCCGTTGTAACTTTTTCTCGGCTCAATAAAAATGGATTCGGTTGCGCTCATTTTAAAGATAAGTGAAATATACAACTTTTACACTAATTACGGATTAATATTATAATAATTTAATAAATTTTTTAAATCTGCTGAGCCGTTAAAAAGTTATAACCGATTTAATTCATGGCTGATTCCACCTCAAATCATGCAGGGCACCGGGTGACCGGTAACGAAACAACATCAAAATACTTGGATAATGTTCTAGGCCCAAAATAAGACAACCCCTATTTTTTCTTTTCCCCCCAAGATGCATAGGTGCATCAATAACGTACTTGAAAGATGCACTTTTAGAAAACAGACTAACAAAAAAAAAATATCGTATTCAATTTCAATCGATTTGCGCATGCTTATTTATCATCGGAATCGAATAAATCTTTTTTTATACGATAGAGAAATACAGAGCCTTCAAATCTATGCATTAAAATAAATGCACTAATGCATTTCCGAGAAGATTATGCACTTTTTCCAAAAAAATGCATCTCATAAAAAACTCGATTTATTTAAAAAACCCCACTTTTTTTTGCGCTCATAATTTTTATGGAGATTCTCTGATACGCTACCTTCAATCCAGTATAGGTCCCATTTTCGGTTTCTACTTCGTTACTGAGAAAAAAAAATTTTTCAACTAGAAAATTTTTTATGTTGACTATCTTGCATTCATACTCACGAGCATTTAAATAACATGATAATCGGCGAGTATTGACTTGTTATGATGTCAGCTGTTGTCATAGACCTTTATGTGTGTAGTCCTGTTTGTGTATATAAATTCCATGATACTTATAAATAGTCTTATCATTTATTCAGTAAGTAGCGACAGTGCGTGTTTGAATTTCTGCTTGACAACATGTCAGCTATGTTAACGTATTCTACGCAAAGATTAAAATGCCCCAATTATTTCAAAGTACATACTAAAGTGGTGTATAATAGCAACAAAGTGAATTTTCAAAAAATTGGTGACTATGCTGTATTTTTACAAGGAAAATTTACAAATCCTGATATAAAAGATAGTGACAGTGTGTGTAGTAACTGCTATAAACGTATCGTTAAAGCTTGCGATGCAATACAAGCAGAAAAAGAAGAAGAAACAATGTCAGATGACAATATTTCAATGGAAGGGAATGACGAAGAAGACAAGTTTATAGACACCTCAATTTTCATGGATGAATTTAATGATAAAATAATTGCTAATTTAGAAAATCCAGTATCTCCTTTGCGTAAGAAAGGAAACATAAAAAATACAAGTGTTGAAAAATATGTTATGAAAAAAAAGAGAGAGCTTGTATCATCATTCTCTGAAGCTACAAATTGTAAATTACAAAAGATTTATGATGTACCTATTGAGGAGCCTGTAAAAAAGTTAAATGATTATTTCCCTCAAGAATTGAGAGAAAATTTCTCTAAGGCCTTCAGTAATTGCTCATGTTTGTCAGAGGTGATCAAACTCTTAACAATTATCGTTCCTTTGTTAACAAAGTTCGAAATTTTGACGTTATTTCCTGAAGTTACTATTTACATGATTGATAAGGCAAGAAAAATTGTTTCAAATCAAGGTAAAAATATAAATCTTTTGTTATGTAATAACAATCAATGTACAATTTTTTTGCGTGTTTTA